CAGTTCATCATTTAGTTTTCCTGGCAGCATTTTCCCTTCCCCCATCCTGTGGTTCTTCTAGATCCAGGTCAGGCCTTAGGCCATTGCCCTTCTTCCTGTGCTCTGCTCAGAATGAGGCCCTCCATGAACAGATTGCCCAGTCTCAAGGGACCTAAATGTGGACTGCACTCTGGGATTCACAAGACAGGGCTCCTTTCAATTACCTGCAGCACCTGAAACAGGCACTAATTCCATGCTCCAACTTGCAGTCCCTTCCCTACTCCATTTCCTGACCAGAAGCTCCTCCTAGAGACACTTGCTTGGTGCTTGGTGTCAAGGAATCTAGGGGAAGAGCACATTTGTCCAAATCACAGTTCTATCACTGACTTGCAAGGAGACCTTGGCTGTGCTACTTACCCCCCTTGTCAGTTTTCCTATCCCTAAAAAGGGAAATATGGGTTAATTCACACAAGACACATAGAACAATGCCTGGTATCAGAAAGTGTCCTACCTGCTGCTATTAGTATTACTACCATTCCTTCTGTGGTCAGCTACATGTGTCTCATCTTAAAACCCAAGTAACTCCCACCCTTAACATCCTAGGACTCCACTCTACTTGTTGTACCCTCTGTGCCTTATTCCCTGAAACAGTTGACAGTGCTCACTAGCTCCACCCTTCACTTCCTGGCCCACCTCAGTCCAGACCCTGCCCTTGCTGTCATGATGATGCTCTCAACTAGGGGAAGAGCCAGCAGACATTCTTGAGACTACTCATTCTGGACAGGACACAGCCTCTGAAACCAGAAGGAGTGGAAATAGCCTTCTTGCATGTCTTAATGCTTAACGCTCTGGGCTTCTCCTTTGCATGTACCTGGGTGCTGTGAGCTAGGTTGCCTATATGGGTCCCTTGATACCCTCTCCCTGCACTACCCTGACCACTCTCTACTGTGCCCAGGGCCTCCTGTTACAGCTGCACTCTGCCTTGAGTGTAGGCTGGCCATGCTGTTTGTAATGTGTTTTCAAAACCCAGTGCAGTGACTAGAGTTTACTTATTTATTTATTTATTTATTTATTTATTTATTTATTTATTTATTTATTTTTGCTACTGAATATTGCACCCAGGGACACTTTACCATTAAGCTACATCCTCAGGCCTTCCATATTTTATTTTGAAGCAAGGACTCACTAAGTTGCTGAGGCTCCTCTCTAACTTTTGATCCTCCTGCCTCAGTGTACTGAGTCACTGGGATTACAGGCATATACAACCATGTCTGCTTTGACTGAGATAGTTTTGATGCCCTGAAATATTTCTTGCTGAGGTGTATCTGAGTGTTAGAACATGAGCTTATCATGTGCAAGGCCTTGGGTTCTTCAGCACCCAATATACAAATAAAATTTGAATAAATGAGTGAACCAACAAAAGAATCAACATTTGAGATAGAAGAAAAGAGATAAAGGGACAGAGAGAATTCTGATGTCTTGATTCCCCAAGTTCAGGGGAAGTAAAAGAGGCAGCTAGAAGTGGGGCAAAAAATGGACAAGAAGGTATCATTTGATGTTGGTCTGTTGATTGAGACCCAGAATGTGAGCAGGAGCCACAAGAGTGGAGCAAGTGTGATATGCTGCTGTGGGTACTCTAGAGGTGTTGGATTCTATTCAGTTCTGGTTGTATTCCAAAAGTATGAGAGGGGTGGGGGTATTCAAACTTAGTGCTCAGTTCTTGAAAGTTTATTAATTATCATTCCTTTCAGCATTTTTCAATACCATATGTACCACTATCCTTAATATATTTTGTTTTGAGATAGGGTCTCACTACGTTGCTGTGGGCCTTGCCCAGTTGTTGAGG